GTATTTTGCATTTCCTATGTCTGTACTTTCCCCATTTTGTCTTTAGCGTGCATTTCTCCTCTCTGAGCAAGATGGGAAAGTGCCATTTCATGTAAAAGGTTGGAAAAACAAGAGATAAGTAATTTCTGGCTTTTTATTCACATCCTGTTGCCACCCGCACCGTTCCATCCTTACTCTCACTGTATTTGTAGTCGTTCTCGTGATTATTTTCAGAAAATGTAACTACTGTACTTGTTTCTCAATTCTTTTTGACCATTTGCTCCTTCTTCATTCTTCAGTGGTTGGAATAAACAACCTCGGTCTTTCATTGTTTTGAGGTTCTTGTCAAGGTTTCAAAGAGATAAGCAAGCCTCTTTATATTGTGTTCTTGGTGAAATGTGCTCGTAACAGTCATTCAATCAATACTCTCCTCAGTAAAATTCTGAAGGTAGTAATGATAATAATGAACAGTGGTGGGAGTGGCAGGACCTCTTGCTGTATAGTTAGGTCACCATCATGTGCAAAAGCAAACACAGATGGCTGATTCACATTATAAACATCATGGGTATTGTGCCAGTTTTGACTTCCCACACAGAAACCTGGGAACTGCAGTGTGGTGAGTTGTCCTAAGGATCTCCACTACAGATTTCTAAAGCTGCTAAGTAGCACTGAAGCTCCAGACAAAATTACTAGGGAACCAGGTGGATAGTAATTCATACCATATGATGGTATGAACAGGACTGGGTCTACTACTACAGACCTGTCCATCTCCATGCTACTGACAAAGCCTCAGACAGGAAGGATGGGGTAGCCTAGAGCAGCCATTCTTAACCTTTTTTTATGGCCACAGCCCTTTTAGAAGCTCCTCTAAGGTTCTATCCTAGGCCCTACCTGTCAAACAAGGATATAACACAAACAGATATCTTCCAGAAATATCACACAGTTTCCCTTCTGTGCAACCCTTCCAAAATGTGACAGAGCCCCCACAAGGGGGTTGCTTGCCCCCAGTTTAAAATGCCTGACCAAGAACTTGGAAGCATGACCTCTTCTAGACTTCACCTCCCAGAAGTCACTGGTCATGCTGACTGAGGGATTCTGGGATATGAAGACCAAAGGAGCCATTTTTTCCAAGCTCAGGATTTTCCTCATGCTCACTCCTTCACCTTCCCTTTATTGTGGTCCACTGTGGTCTAAAGAGCCATGAAGGAGATCCTCTTGGTCCAGTTACTACTCTTCTTTCAACTCGCTTGCTCCTCCTATACCACTTTCCATCCAGCTCCCTGAACTATTGTGAGACTTTCTTCCTTGAAGGAACAAAGACAACCGTCACCTAGGCAACGAAGCCAACAAGTCACTTAGAGCTGAGACCAGCATTCACATTGGCAGACATCACAGTTGCCTCAGCAACCCAATAGTTCTGGGGCTGCGTGGCCTTACTGTTTGGCCCCAGTATGGCTCATCGTAGGCCCTTCCAGCTCTAGTAACCTTTGCAATACGACTGACTCAGTGTGCCATGCCCAGGCATTTCATTTGATTTTGTGACTGTATATTAAAACTGGGGAGATAAGTACTTCCAACACCTGATTTGTATGTTAGCTAGACCCAGACATTTGCTTTCGTAAAATAAAAGTTTGACCAAGCTCTGGCAGAAGTATGGCGATGTATTTTAAAAGGTGGAAAAACTGGGCAACATCCCGTTCACATGATTACACTGGCATAAAATAGATCTGAGTACCAGAAATAATAAATAATAAGAAATCAAAAGCTTCCTGTCCTCCCTCCCCCTCTCAGGGTTGGGGAAGCATTCAGGACAGTGGTGGTGAGGAGCCTTTAATAGTAAAAAATCACCTCAGAATTGCCACCACTGGGATCAAGACTGCCAGCAGTGATCCAGTGGTAATTTTTGACTATTAAAGGCTCCTTTCTGCACCCAGCATGAGACTCTCAGAGGCTTTCTCAATGGAAAAAAGGGGGAGAGGCTCTAGAGAACCTCAGAACCTGAGGATGGATAGGAAGCTTTCAGTTTGTCTTTAAACTGATTATTTCTTAAACACACATCTGGTCTATACTGGCACAACTGCATTCTATTTTTTTTATTATAGTTCCACTAAAAGCTATCAATATTACAGGGAACCCCATCAGAGATTTCTTCTCCTTTCCATACAAATAATCACCCAAGACTGCAACAACCCTGGATTTTTCAAATTATTTCTAAATGCTTTTAATACCACACAAGTGAGGTATTCCCTCATGGGTTCTGCAAAGTATCAAGGAGAAGAGGCACTTTTTCCCAGCTATACAGTATATCCTACACAGGATTCAAATAAATACAAATGATGTGCAACCTTCAAGAAGCAAAACCTCTGAGATGGCAGTTTGTCTACAGTTAGTTAAAGAGTTCGTGATTTCAGAAATACAAATTAAAACGAGTTGAGCAAACAGATTTATCTTTTCAAAAAAAAATGACCGTGTTCTCCAAATCCCAGTGAGAATAAAAGAGGTGGGGGGTTTTTTGGGGTGTGTGTGTTTTGTTTCATTTGAAACCTGTATTATTTTACTGCCCACGGCCCCAACAGCATTTCTACTTCCCACAGTTAACTTACAGCATGGAACCTACTGGCAGCCTTTCTTCCAGGTGATTTATTCTTTGATGCTGACTTTGTGAACCTGACAGAGACTCAAGAACGAGAACACAAGTCTGACTCTGCTTAACCAGGAATGGGTGAGCACTCACTTGCCCAACTCATAAATCACTTGAACTCAACAGTTTAAAATGAAGAACTCAAGACATGCCAATAACACTGGAAACAATGAAAAGCCCACCTTTGAACAGTCAAATAGCCTATTCCTAGGGCCAGGAGAAAACATTTTGCTTTCTAAGTTATAGAACCAAATGGCATCCTCTCACAGATGAGAGACAGGAAGCATCCCTTTTTTGGACTACACCTCCCAGGTAATTTCAGTCGATATGGTCAGTGATCATTCTGGCATGTTCTGAGTGCAACAGTAAAATAATAATAATAACAATAACAACAATAATAATTAATCACTTTCACCATCTCTGACCCCTCCATACCTAAGTCAAGATCAAGATCACGTGACTTGGACAACTGAATGTAAGAAAGAAAATTGCACAAATCACACGAATAACTCTCCCGCTCCTTGGCAGTAAAAATAATAATAATAATACAGTTAGAATAAGTTCCCTCCTTTACAATTCACTTGAGGAGGCCACCTCCCTCTAAGGCTGGCTCTGCTCACCCTCCCTTCCAACCTGCGTGCCCGTCTTCACCAAGGGAGTGGGGAACCTCCCTTGGAAGTGTAGGTGGTGTAAGCCTCAGCTTGCTGTCAGCAAGAGCCCAGAGCCTGGGGAGTTTGCAACTAAACTCTCCGGGACAGAAAGGAAAGCGATGCAGAGAGAGAGTATCAGATAGCAGTGTGGAGAGGTGCCTGGAAAGATGCCATGGTGCAAGAGGTGCTCATGTCTAGTAAGCTTGGCTCCCTACTTTATGAAGTAATCAAAGGACCATTATTTTGTGTCCTCCTGTCACTTCCAACATAGGGTGACCCTCCCAGGGTTTTCCAGCTATACTGTCCTCAAGAATTCTGTGCAGCTTCCCTAAGAGCACGTAAGGGACAGAGCAAGTTCCAGATGATCTTAGCTGGCTCCTCTTGCAGCAAGTATAGAGGGGATCCAAACTCCTGAACTACACCAGTTCAAATAGATTCATATTCTGATGTGAAAAGGAGAATGCTCATTAAGACCAGAAGTGTAGAATTACCTAATTGCATCCCTGTGAAAGCCGGGAAACAGAGAAGTAGAGTGCAAGGCATTTTGGGATCAGTTCAGCACAAAGAGGAACTAGGTTGACTCTGATGGGGAATGTATTTGCTTGAAGAGAGGGCAGTCACATTTCTGAGCTCCTAGCCCCCTCACTAGCATTCAGTTAATGCCCCCCATTTTTCCTCCCAACATGACCATGACAGAAACAAACCCAAGAAGCTAAGGTCACGTGCATTGGGCCTTGGGCCTGACGGAAATGGAATCACTATCTTAGAAGGGGGGGCTAATTGTCCCATCAGTGGAAGCAGCAGCAAATGGATGCCCAGATGCCTTCCACTGTTAGCTAGCATGTGAAGAAGGAAGTGCTGTGCTTGTGCTTTGATGCTCTAAAGCATGAAACATAAATAGATACAAAACAAACATCTTCATAAATCCCCCTCTGGATGGCACAGTAGTAGCAGAGAAAGGGAATGAGCAAATCACTAGTATAGTTCGAAGGCCCAACATGTCCTGATTGGCTTATTTCCTCTTCTTACTACCTGCCATATAGCTGAGAACACTGAAATATGAATAAATAATACGAACAGGCATTTTTATTTGGTTTTTTTAAAGCCATGTCCTTTCCAATCTAAAGTAAACCCATGGAATCAGTAGATCTTACAAAAGGTACCATATTACTGAATTCCAAATGATCCAGTGGCCAGAATCCATTTGGTGTTTGCATAAGGTGTGCATAACTTGCCATGGATAACTGCAGCTAACTGACAAGGTGCCAGTGCCTCCCACAAGTGCCCATATCAGTCTTTATTCCTGATCATGCACAGTGACCCCCCATCAGTTAGCCGCAATTAGCTGCAGCCTTACACAGATCTTCTTGCAACACCAACAGGATTCCTACCAACAGGTCTACTCTAGTTAGGACTAACAATTGGATTTATTTTTTTATATTTTTTTTAGTCTCAGAACAACCTCATACTCTAGGCTCATAGTATTGTTATTCTACCAGCTGGAAAACCGAGGCCCATATTTTTGCTTGATCCTCAATCCAGACTTCTAGAAATCCAACATTCCAATGTCATATGATAGGGACTGTGTATCAAGGGTGCGTGAAGATGTTTCCTCTTTACTGCTTTCTGACTGGGTTTCATTTTTTTAAAAAAACCCACATCTTTTAATAAATATGCTCAAAATCTTTAGATTTTAAATATTATACAAATGAAATTTTGTGGCAACTTACCCAAAGTGACTGGCTAAATTCATGGAAACGCAGAGCAGAAAGAAGTTTTTGATCATGATAAAACCAGAGAGCATCCCATGGTCCATACCCAGTGAAATTATTAACAGAGCAGCTGACTTTGCAGGGGTGTACTTTTGCCACCTTTGTTCCGAAGCTGCAGCAAGACAAAAGGAGCAGAAATGCATGAACGTGTTAACTTCAGACATCAAGCAGGTCAGAGGTCATGTGATGCATCCTTTAGCAGCCCTAAAAAAAACTCCTTACAGTCCCAAATTCATTGGGAAATATATTTGATGTAAGATTATGTGGGTACCTCTCCACATAAAGGACATAAAAGTGAATGCAATTATTCTGAACTGCCTAGATCACTCTTAGCACCTTGGGAAATTTTTGGAGGCTGTAACAATTTTCACAAGACATATTGATGCAAGTTGTATGTTTGATTCAAGAATCAGTGAAAGTAAGAAATTAGCATACAGTAGATGGGATTGAAACATCCCTTAACAGACAAACATGTAGAAACTAAGCAGTGTACACTCAGCACATCATTTGGGTGTATTGCATTTCCTCACATACATGTGTGCATGCATATGCCTGTGTGTGCCACCCTGTCTATTTATACATGCTTTCCCCAAGTAGCATCACTCTTCTGTCTTACCTTTGCTTCCAAGATCCAGCAAGAAGCTAGCTAATTCAGACTGAAATTCGGGGGGTGCAAATTGAGAGAATGGCCATAAACAAAAGAAAGGCCTTGTGAGCTTTAAAGCACCTTCATGACACACAAAGCAGGAGGAGGCAGAGGTGGGGGCAGAAGGAGGCATGGCAACAAAACCTGCTTCCAAGACTGAGCTGGCATTTCTTGGGTGCTTGCTTGTGTGTGTGGTTCAAAGACACCGATTCTTGACTGTGTCTGTCTTTTGAGGGAAGTATCTCACCAACCGTTGACTGGTGAAAGAGGCCCTTCAGGGCAATTAAAGGGTGTTAAGAGTTTCTGTCTACCTGAAACTTAAAATAAGGGCTCCTCGATTTAGGACGACAAGGCTAGGGAAGAAGGCTGTCCGTGGGTTGGTGTGTATATAGGTGCATGTGCATGCTCTTTTAAGCGGTGCCACAGGCAAAACAATATCCCACTGAGAACGAGGGCGCAGGCATCATGAACGAAGAACGCGGCCTTTGAAAAGAAATCTGCTGAAATGTGGATGAAATCGAAATCACGAGAGACAAAAAAAATCTCATCAAAACCCGGGAAGGGTTGTGGGATTTTTTTAAAAAAACTTTCTTTTGTTTGATTATTTGTTTTAAATCGCTGTCGGGTTGGAGGCTTAAAAGAACCGGGGTCTTGGGGATCCCGGGTCTTTAAGCCTGGCGCCGAACCGCTCCACTCCACGGCCATCGCCCTCCTTTCGCCGCCCGCGCTGGGCCGGAGGAAGAGAGGGCACTGCAGACTTGAGCCGCAGCAGCCTCTTCTCCCTGCCCGGGCCGACTCACCCTGGGAACTGAGGAGACTTGACCCCCTCCCCGTCCCCATCCCAGCCAGATGGTGCTGGGAATCCCACGTCCCGGCGCCAGGGAGCCAGGCACCCGCCGGCGGCCGTCCCAAGTGCACCGCTGGACCCGCAGCAGCCCGATCCAGCACCGGCTGCCTTGCAGTGGCTGCCGCCACCGCCGCCACCGCCGCCGCTTCTCCTGCACCGAGCGCTGCAAACTCTGCCCGGGGAGCCGAAGTGGAACTCCAGGCTTCTCCCTGCCCGCCGGACCAGGCAAGCCACCCCTCTTCCTCCTCCTCCTCCTCCTGGATTCCGGGAGCCAAGGGAGCGAGAGACCCTGCCTGGCCGCCCGGCTCCTGGCCCCGATCCCTCGGCGATCCCGAGCTAGAGGCGAGTGGCGGCGCGCCGCGGGTGGAAGTTGGCCGTTTGCGCCGGGCTGCCCTCGCCCGCCCGGGGGAGCCAGGAGAGCGCCGCGGGCTGCCTTTTCCGGGGAGCCCTCCCCCCGTCTCTCTCTCGGGGGCCAGTCGTGCCCGCGTCCCCGACCGCCCCAAGGCCGGGGGAGGGAAGACACCCCCCGCAAGGAACTGCGCAAATCTCCCGGCCAGCTCCCGATCGGGCTTCTTTTTTTTTTTTAAACAACCTCCCCCCAACTTACCCGCGTCTGGAGGGAGGGGGAGGGCGGGACCGAGCTCCTCGGCGTAAAATCCCGTCTCGCTCCGGAGGCTCCTTCGAGCTCGGGCGCTCGTCGGTGGTGGACGCCGGACGGTTTCCCCTAAAACCTCGCCGGCCACCCTCGCCCAGAAAAAGGAAGCCGAGGAGGGGCGAGGATGGCTGGGAGCCGAGAAGCGCTCCGCCTGCCGAGGCGATCCCTTCGCCCTCCTCCCCCCGGGCAGGAGCTCCCCGGATCCGCTCTGAGAACCCCTAGGCTTTCGCCCGGATCCTCCACATGGTGCCGCCGAGGCTGGGAGCAGAAGGGTCGCTAAGCAGCTGCGCGCCGGCAGGGGGCGTTGGACAGCCGCCGCGCCCCCCCCCCAACCTTCCGCGTTCCCCGGCCCGGGGGTGGGGGGGGGAGGCGTAGTATTAATCACTGCGTCTCTTCGCCATCCACCGGCGGACGCGGCGATGCGCTTCCTCGCATTGCTTCTAGATTCCGACGGCTCCGGATGGCGCGCCAACGGGCGGGGGGGGCTGCGTGGTCTGGACCGGCTTGGCCCGGACTAGAGAGGCACAGAAGTTTGGAGAGACGGGACCGCGCCGTGTGGCCCTCGAGGCGTCTGTCCCCGTCCTAGCTGTGGTTGCCAATCTCTCTCTCTCTCTCCCCAGGTGCCTCACCTGCCGCAGAGATAGATGGTCACCTTAGGCGGCAAAGGCACAACTCTCAGAACCTGGAACCGTTGCTATTCTGGAGCACTGCCCCCAGAAGTAAGGTTTCCAATCTGGGGTTGATGATGATGATGATGACTGCAGTAGACAAAGAGTGTATGGCTGTGTCTGACACCGTCTAGAGGTTAAGGTGATTTAGCGCAAGAGTGGGAACAGAGAGCAAGAAAGATCACCCCCACCTCGCAGTATGGATAGCCTCCTGTTCTTTTCCTCCGAGCAAATGCCATTTCTTTTGCCTGATGGCTGGCCCTAACCTGTTGCTTCCATCGAGGGAGAGGGAAATATAGCCTGCTGTCAGACTGCAGCTCTCGTAATCCCTCACCATTGGCTATGGTGATGAAAGCTGATGGGACTTGTAGTCGAATAACACTTGGGGAACACATTGTCTCCTCACCCCTCAGAAGTGAGAGGAGCAGGTATACCATGACAGCACTATCACATGATGGAGAACGAGAGGAGTGGCTGCTGGGGTGCCACCCAGAAAGGAAGTTCAATAAAGGAAACCCAAATCTTGTACCCCGATGAGGCCCTGCTAAGCATAAATTGGTACATGACACTATATGACAAGGGCACCTCCCATTTCCGAAGCCTGAGGATGCCGTCTACGACCATTGTTGATGAAGAAATATGACCCACTGAATCTACTCTCAAATAAATATTATCCACTGGTACATCTGTAGCCCCCTAGTTGTTCGACCCCAACTCCCATCATCCCCAGCAAGTAGTTAGGGACTGTGAAAGTTGTAATTCGCTGTTTGGGATGTTTCCAGTCCCTCTCCCTTGGTTTTGCCTTCAAATTGTACCCACGCTTGTGGGGAAAAGTGGACAGAGGTCTGCTCTGTGAACATCATCTGGACTGGAGCAAGCCTGCTGTTGAGCAAAGAGCAAAGAACTCTGAAGGCCACAGAGCCCCATCCTCTGAGCACAGGAGGTATCACGTAGCATTTCCCTCTTCCCCCAGGGCTGAGGTTCCCCTTGGCAAGGCATTTAGGTTTCCTGCTTCATGTTTTTACCTTTCTTTCAGCCAAACATACTACATGGCTGTTTTCACAAATTTAGGTTTCCTGCTTCATGTTTTTACCTTTCAGCCAAACATACAACATGGCTGTTTTCACAAATGAAGAAAAAACTGAGACTTCCAGAATGTCAAGTGCCAGGCTTCAATGTACTGAACTTTATTTTTCCAGTAAGTTTACAGGGTAGCGGCATATTCTGAGGCCTGATCAGCATTTTTGTCATATGGCACTTGTTTCCAGCACTATGACAGAGACGGGATCAAAGCACCGTGGAGGAGGGCAACATTTAGACCTCGTTACATTTAAAATAAGGAAACAAAAAGGGAAGGAATTAAGACAGAGTTAATTTCCTATCGTCAACTGCAGCTGCCTTTTCACATCAACCCATATGTAGAAAAACAACTGGCTTGCTGTTCCACACTCCTTAGGCTGTGTGGAAACAGGTCCTCCTTAATCCTAGTCTCTTGTTCCCTCCCTTGGCAGTCCTTCTAACACCTCACCCAGTGGCTTCTCTCTTTCTGACAATCCTTTACATTGCCAGTTCCTTCCTCAACAGCTGCTGCCTGATGCTTCTCCTTACTTTTGCCACTTCTTCCCTTCCCTATGTTTCCTTCCCCTGTGGATTTCCTTGTGGATACACTTCTTTCTCTCATGCCTTAAACCTGAACCTTGGTTTCCATAGAGACCCTCTACCTGAGCTCCTTCAGATGAAGCGGTTGCTACAATTAACACTATAGGCAGTTCATCCTCCAAGGTTCCGCTTTCTGGTTGACCAGTTTTTTTCATAATATGGCTCCATTTTATTTTCTTTTTTTTAACCATCTCCATCCAGACCATAAAATGTAAAATGGATCAGGCAGAGATGGGACAAACAGTTGTTGCTTGTGTGTGTGTGGACTATTGCATGCAGGGATATTCTAAGAATCAGGAGTCCAAAAACGTTTGGTTTTTCCCCCCATCCCATCATTGGGGCTGGCCCCATTGCTTTGAAGTCCTCAAATGCTTATGCTAGAAGGCTCCAGGAGGAACCTATCCGTGCTGGGAAAGATCTGTACCTTAGTGGCAGAACTCACTCTCTACAAGCAGGAAGTCTCAGGTTTGATACCACTATCTCCAGGTGTAGCTGTGAAAGAAATCTGCCTGAAATCCCTGAGAGCCACTGCCAATTAGTGTGGATAGGGCTGGGCACACTGATGGTTTTGAGGGCAGTGAATCCACTGTTTCAGTTTGAAGTTACAAGAGCTGTCCCAGGTGCTGAAACATAGCATCAAAATAGGATCTTGGACAGTTCCTATAACGTCGTCCAGAGAACTGCTGATAGAATTTGTGAAGTAGACGAAATATTGGTAGGTTGAGACAGCAGAGCCCTTTCAAAGAAGAAATACCTCCATTTTCACGAGATACTTAACAACCCTAAAGAGCCAATCAGGAGTTCAGGTTTCCTTAATCAGCATTGCCCCTCTGCTACAACTGGAGGATAAAATGACATCCTACTTGTATGCACAGTGTGAAGAGCAAGTGAGAGAAAGCTTCCTATATGGTCCAAATCTCGTATGGCTGCTAATATTAAGGCTGCAGTACAGAACCCACATTCTTGTGATCACGTCCCACTAAATATAGTGGGTGTTATTTCACAAAAAACAAATTTCGTGTTTCAGCTATATTTGGGGAGGATGTCAAGGCACAAGGGAGGCTAGGTCACCTATTGTTCATTAAAGGTGTGATCTATATAAATATTTATCTGGAAGACAGTGCCATTGAACTCATTAGGACTTAAGCCTGAGCACACATGTATAGGATTGCATTGTGGGCAAAAGAGATTTTCAGGTAGTGTTTATTTTGTCACTACCAAATTACGGCTACTGAAAAATGTCCCACTTTTTTCTTAGTGGTACAATTATAATATTCATAAGAACACCCCCTCTGTTACTTTTGTCAGACTGGTATCTTAACTGATGCTACATCTCATTCACAGTAGACCAAGTTGGAGTGATTCAAAATTAAAAATAATATTAACTGTGACTTGTCCTCTTTCTGGTATATACATCTTAGAACCACCTCTTCAGAATGATCTCCCATAAGATGGCCAAGGTCATTTCTTCTATGACAACTTGTCTATTTGTTCCAAGGAAAGCTGATTGTTGACTATTATTTCTTTGACACTCACCACAGGATCCAGGCCATGCCCATTTTTTTCTTGAAAGTACTAAATGGGCTTCACATTGATGCCTCTGCTTCCTATAAATCTCACTTATTCTTCTGTCCTGGTTTTCCTTCTGCTGACAGTCACAGGAGAGGTAATAAATCCTGGCCATTGACAGGACTACCTAAAACTTGCTGAGATTTCTATCACACATTTTTATTTTAAAAATAAAAATGTTTAAACCACAGCACTTTGAAACTACTTGATTCAGAGACTTCTGTGCAAATGAACCCTTATACCTATATGAAAGCTCATGTAAAAAAAAG